TTAAATTTGTCAAGAACCATAACTCTAAGAAAGTTCACAACTCAGTCGCAAGAATTAAAATGTGTGTGAATTTGTAAATTCGTGCTTACCTGTTTTATACTCGGGGCGATTTGAAACTTGACATGTTATATTGACAGGCTATTTACATGTAAATATATATCGTTCTTGTGTTCATTGAGTCTATTGTGGAATGGTTGCTTTGACTAACATACAAAACGGAGGCCACCTATGGAACATTGTAGTAGGATGTAAATGACAGGACACAACATTGTAAAATGACCCGTATGTGGCCTCCACTATGATAGTTAGTTAAAGTGGTCTTTCCACAAATATCCTCTACGCACAAAAGCAATGTTAATGAGAAGCCACATCAAGTTTTAGTTATTGAACAGTACTATCAGTGCAATGGACCAGGGTTTTTTTTTCATAAAGAAGCTTATTGTTCCTCCCCAAGATGTCATTACATATAACAGAAAATAAATAACTGGGTTTTATTTTATATACTTGTCAGTCAATACCCCAATTTTTGTTAGATTTATCACTTTTAATAACATTTTGACATTTTGGGATGTATAATACGCACACAAGCGATGGATTAATGATATGTACAAACTTAAGGTATATTTACAAAGCCAAACTTATGATATTTTTTTTCAATTGATTTCAGTTTTGAATTTTGTTTGTTCTGTGAGAATTATAAACTTACACAAAGAGTATCCATTATACTACTTCCTTTTGAAAAAGTTCGATATTCCTCCTCAGTCAAACGAAAACGTTTTTGTGGAAGGTCTCTGGTTCACACCGGGTACTTCAAATTCCTTCACAAATAAAAACTGGCCATCCTGAAATAGCGAGGAATAATGTAAGTGACGTTTAACACCAACAATCAATAATATAATCAATCAATCAATCAATCAAAAGGAAAAGAACATTTATATGCAATCAACTTGCCCAATTAATGCTACTAGGCGACTAGTGTTGGTAACACTAACAAAAATAAACTAGGGTATATTTTGCATCTGTAACTTATTGCATAGGAACAAAACATTTACTCAAATTAAATTTATTTATGATTTTATTACTTATATTGTACCTAAGACAATGCAATATATTGTATTACATATTGGTTGTGGTTCGCAGAAAGAAGTGAAATATGAACATTAATACAAAGTTTTCCTATTGTTTGAACTTGTGTCCATCTCTTCAAATTCTTCACAATAAATTTTTCATTTGGTATATTTTTTGTTTAATGTTAAACATATGTCTGAGTTACAATACCCTTGTTTCAATATGTTGGCCAATTATTTCAATATCCTTCTGTTGGTAGTGTCGGAAATATTGGCATGTGCTGACCGCATGATTGTCCTCGTTTTGTATACTGTGATTTTCATTTACTACATTAGTATCAGATTTAAATTTTTTCCAGCAGTTTTTCTGACATAATCTGTAATGGTGGAGAGGTGGAGAGTTATGTCAGCAGGTGATGCTGTATACCTTTAAATATACAAGTCTTAATTACAATCATTTGTGTTAATGATTTATTATCGTCGATTATCATTCTTTTAAATACGAGTGAAATGACGGATGTCACGAGTACTATTAGAACAAGATCGTCTAACTCTTTTGACGTTCCGTATTTAAAACCGCCTTTTCCAATGAGATTCGTGTTGTTGTATTATCTATTTTCTCTTTTTGTCTTTTTTTAAAAAATTTCACGATGATGTTTGTATTGACCTTCTTTCCTTTAGTCCATAAACTGATTTGCTTCATTTCTTTCATGCTTCTTATTGATAAACCTTCTTACTTTTGTTTAGACAAGTCTGCATTAAACGTGTATTTACAACATATTTTGCTATTTCTGCTTGATTGAAAGGAGATGCTGTGTTTATTTTGTTTTCTTTTCACCTATTTTCAAGTTTCCAATATATTACATTTGTTGTTCAAACATTTACATTTCCTTATTTTTATAACTCTTCTTTCATTCATCGCGGTATACTGACAAAAATGACATACATGTACAAATGATGTATGTGAAGATTTGTTTTGTGACTTCCAAATTTCTTAATTTGATAACAACTTATCAAGAATTCTTCAAGAATGCAATGAAATCAATACCAAGAAAAGGGCATTTGTAAACCAAGAGAAAACAAATGCAGAAAAATACGCTAACATGATACAATTGTACATGAATTTCAATTTATTTTAAATCGTTCCATAATACACAAATGATACAAGAGCTGAGTAATATGTACGAACTTATTCCATTCCCAGTGTATATTATAAGAAAATAAAGTTGTTTGAAAATATTTTATAAACCACACGTTTTAATAAGATTTTTCTTGTACAGTTTTCCGCAATATTCATTTGGAACAAAACAAAAACAATTTTTTTCCACAATTTTGATATCAGGAATCAATTAGAAATGCATAAAATAACAATATAACAATTTTTATTGAAATCTTTAGAAAAAGATGTTTCTCAAAAAATTGTGATTTACTCTTTACCATATTTAACATTGAGAAACATTATTTTTACACCTTCAATCACTTTGAAGTAACTTATTACATCAAAAAAATTCTTTAAGCGTATCATAACTAACATGTCAATTTTTGTTTAAGTTTTAGCACAAAAATATGTTTCTTGATGAAGTGTTTTACAACTTTTATACCTATTAACCAAAAAGAAAATGAAACTTCCTTTTAAATAGGTGTTAACACTGAGCATCAAAATTTTGAAAATCAGTTGAGGCAATCTTGATCTATTGTACCATAAGAAGTGCCGACGGACAAACAGAGTGATTACTATAGGTAACATGTGACTAGTGGGCTGGGCCCTAATAAATATTCTTATCCAATTTTGTCCTTAGAACCTGTGGAACCCAAGTATCTTTAGCCCTTAACAAAGCAGGATGTCAAGTGTAAAATGTAGGTCTTAAGTGTCAGTCTGCCTAAGGATCAGGCAGTGACCAAAACATGATAGTCTCAGATTTTGATGAAAACTTGCACAAATCATCTGAATAACAAGTTATAAAGAGAAAATTACTTTTCGGACCAATTACATATGGTTGCTATGGAAACAGAGCCATTTCATTTTCCAAAGAACGAATTATTGAGATTAGCATAAAACTGACAGTTTTTCACTATTTCAGTCTCATGAAAACTGCTGTTCATATAAAATGTAGTATTTCTCCATTGTACTGCAATTTTTTCAACTATCAAATATTCTTGAAGAACAGCTGTTTTGATGAAATTCTATTTCATTCCTGAAATTTTGGGGTACGGATGGTCTCCATGGACCATAATGTCCAAAAAGCCAAAAAAGGCCAGAAATCAAGTTCAAATATTTTCTATTACCAGAACAGCATATACATGGTGTTACTTAATATGGAACAAGTAGTGGTCATACTTTCATTATTTCATAAAAGCTCGGTGGGTTTTTTCCAAATATTGAGTAACCATAGCAACAAAGTTAACCCTATAGCAACAAAGCTAAAAAAAACAAATTGTAACAAATGTATTCAATATTAAAGACTAAATACATATAAATGGACTAAATATGATTTATTTAAGCTAGTCTCATTCCAGTGTTGTCAATTTTTCCAGTTTTTTCCCGTAAAATATTACATAGCAACCGAAAATTGTCCTTAGCAACCAAAATGAACAAACTTAAATTTTTTTGTTTTTTTTTATACAAAAATATTCTCCAGTGCAAAAAGCGACAATTAAGTGGTTAGATATCAATCATTTCGATATAAAATCAGTAAATTAAACAATATCTACATTTCATTAGCAACAACTTTAACCCCCTAGTAACAAAACAGATTCTTTCAAAAGTTTCACATTTTTGGTGTGAGCTTACTTCTTATACCAGATTCATATTGGTTTGAGACATATCATTATAGTTACTGACACTATCATGCTTTAAAATTTGTATTACAACCTGGTGGTTTTTTTTAAACAAGGGATATGCATAACAACCAATAAATACTCCTTAGCAACAGAAAAGTATGCATATTCCACATTCTTTCTATCAAAATTATAGGCTATTATTTAAATTATACATTTTTTAATGTTAAATGCTTCAATATTGAATTGCTATTAATAATTGAAAACTAACCGGAACTACAAAACTTCAACGTTGACCTTTGAATCATGAAAATGAGGTAAAGGTAAGATAACACCAAATGCATAGACATATACACCTTGCGATCGTTCTATACACCAACCTATTGCTTACAGCACTCGAACAACAGACCAAAACACAATTTTGTTTTCACTAATGCATCCTGAAAATGAGGTCAATGTCATATGAAACCTGCCAGACTGACATATACTTATAATTATTCCATAAACCAAATAAAGTTATTTATTGCATAAAGTACTTGTTTGAAGGACCAAAAACACAAAAACTTATCATTGGTCACTAATGAACCATGAAAATGGGGACAAGGTCAGATGGAACCTGCCAGATCTAGACAGACATCTATCCCTTACAATCATTCCATACACCACACATAGTTGACCTACTGCTTATATAAGAGAAATGAACCTATTCATGCATGAAACTTTCACCTTGATCACTGATCCATGAAATGAGGTTGAGGTCAAGTGAACCCTGTCTGACTGCCATGGAGACGTAGCAAGTAACCCATATACCAAATAAAGTTATCCTAATATTATTCATTATACCGGTAAGTGAGAAATTCGCATGACCAAAAAACTAAAAAAAAACATTTGAGCAGTCACTGAACCATGAAAATGAGGACCAGGATTTGGGACATATGACAGACGGAAACTTTGTAACATAAGGTATCTGCTAACAAGCTCTTCTTATTTATATTACGAATCCAGGTCTTCTACGGTTCTACCCTCTAAAATATAATAGTTGGCCCTACCACCGTCGGATTGTAATGCCTTTGTCTTGCATACTGTGACACTGCGAGACGAAATGTAAGTCATAAAAACATGCAACATTTTTCAAAAAGAAAACAGTAAAATGCACAAATTATTGCATTCATTTATTATAATATTTTTAAAAGTAACTGACCAAATTAGAGATTTATTTATGCTAATACAGGAAAAGCTCTTCCAAATTCTGATTGCAGAATGCAAGTTCTTATCATTGAGATACTCAACCAATCTCAACATTCAAATGTTTTTAAAAACTTCTGTCACATACATGTAATTCCTGATTTAAGTTTTCAGACTTTTCAGAGTCTTCTTATATTTATCATGTCTTATTATTTTATCTGTCATTCAGGTTTTGTATATCTGTTCTTTAGGTTCAACCATGGTTATAAAATTTCCCAACAAATAGAGGCTAAGTTGTCATCCTTCACTTCAGAAATGTTGGTCAATTTGAAGGCACGCTATTTACTTATGTCCATTTGCTACAAACATTTTGAACTTCCTACTCAAGTGCGCAATATTGGCAACACAATATGCTGAGCCTCATTGAACTGTAGTTGAATCTTTTAATCATCAATCCTGCAATCATATGAAATTTCAGTAAAAATCAAAATAAATATAATAGCAATTCATTTACAGTTCATGTTGTTAATTTCAAGTTCAATGAATCACTTTGGTTGAATGAAATGTAAATGATTGAAGTTTAAATAAAATGCTCCACTGGGTGCAGCTTGATACGACCGCAGAGGTCGAACCCTGAACAGTTGGGGCAAGTATGGACACAACATTCAAGCTTGATACAGCACTGAATTTGGATTGTGATTAAATATTTGACACAGCATAGGTTTCTGACACAGAATGAATGTGGTCTAAGAACTTGAAATTTTTTTAATTTACCTATTCAAACTATATAATTATTATTTGCTTTTATATATAAATCAGAAATAACCAATTTCAAATTTAAAATCCCCCCCTCTAATTTTTTGAACCCCCTTATGATTCATCACCCCCAAACTCAATCCCAGCCTTCCCTTTGTGGTATGGTACCTTGCAGTACAATTTCAGAGAGATCCATACACTTACACACAAGATATTGTCCTGAAACTAGAAAAATGCTTGTTTTTTGCCCCTTTTTGGCCCCTAATTCCTAAACTTTTGAGGCAATTACCCCCAAAATCAATCCCAGCCTTCCCTTTGTGGTATGGTACCTTGCAGTACAATTTCAGAGAGATCTATACACTTGAACACAAGTTATTGTCTGGAAACTAGAAACATGCTTATTTTTGGCCCTTTTTTGGCCCCTAATTCCTAAACTTTTTGGGCAATTACCCCAAAACTCAATTCCAGCTTTCCCTTTGTGATATGGAACCTTGTGGTACAATTTCATAAAGATCCATACACTTACTCACAAGTTATTGTCATGAAACTAGAAAAATGCTTGTTTTGTGCAGCTTTTTTGGCCCCCAATTCCTAAAATTTTGAGGCAATTACCCCCAATATCAATCCCAGCATTCCCTTTGTGATATGGAACCTTGTGGTACAATGTCAGAGAGATCCATAGACTAACACACAAGTTATGTCTGGAAGTTACAAAAATGCTTATTTTTGGCCCCTAATTCCTTATCTGTTGGTACCATAACTCCCAAAATCAATCCCAACCTTCCTTTTGTGGTATTGAACCTTATGGTAAAATTTCATAGAGATTCATTCATTTAAACTAAAGTTAGAGTGCGAAAACCATTGTGTCTTCGGACGACGACGCCGCCAACGTCATACCAATATACGACCGCTTTTTGCGGTCGTATAAAATGAACACTAAGGAAACGACCATTAATTTTAGTACATGTACTAGTATGTGAACAAGCTGACCAATATATAAATTTATGTGCAAGTCCAAGGTGAAACATTGTTTTTTTTTTTTTTTTTTTGCTTTATACCAGTGATTTTGCAATCACTTGTCATTTTTCCCTTTAGAAATATCAAAAGTATTTCACTAAATATAGTAAAAGTTTAAAAAATAAACTTGACACAGTCTATATGTTAATTTGGTAGAAAAATTCAAATGATGAAATCAAATAGTTATACTCTGAAATGTTTAAATATGCCAAATATTCAAAGTGAATGAACCATTACTAAAAATGTCAGTAGAAATATAAGAAATGCCATTGATGCTAAATACAACTGCATACCAAATTAGAGGGTGGTAATGGGGGTACCAGTCCATCATTAAGATTAAGGGTAAGAATTCTTGCCAAAGGGCGTTAACGGTAATTTTGGTCTATGACGATAAAATGTACACTTTCTTTTTAACCGTAAAGAAATCGACTGATTTTGACGAATCATGTTAACTTTTTCTCCAAAATTAACAGTGATGATAACTTTTTGAGGTCTCTGATGAATCACAATAACTTTCGGATATTATGACAAATCACGGTAAAATTTTAACCAATTTGACGCTTACGGTAGCCTTAAATGACCGTTTGACGCCTGACAATACAGGGCATTCCTACCCTCAAATAAAACTAACTTATCATAAGTGGTTCTTTGTTAACTGATCTACACGAAATCACACACTTTAAAATGTAAACTAGTTGCTAAAATGATAAAATCATTAGACCATGACCAAGGGTCGAAGTAAGGGGATAGGGCCAAATAACCTCCATAGATATAAGATGCATCAAATTGAATGCTTATACAACTTTATATATCAAATACTATTTATTTACCATTAGTAGTTCCACTTAAACTGACCTAATTAAAAAATTTTAAACACCAATATGTTTTTGAGTAGAGAAAAGAAATGCATGATTTTTTTACAAGTAAAAAGACTCTTGATGTTGTTGACAATACATGTGTAGGTGATCTCTGCATAATTCTTGTTTAGCATTGTCAATATTTTACCCAAGTAGCTCCAGCAGAAAATGTACATGTAGGTCATATTGACCTAGTTCTTGTTGTGACATATATATATGTATATCTATATCATAAGATTAATTAACCACTTGCTAAAAACAGAACCAGCAAAAATCATTTTGTAAATCAGCATTTGCATACTGACGGGAAAATCTATGATAATGAGCTGTGCCGTTGTGGATGGGTATGACAAAAACATCTTGTAGCTGAAGTAATTCTCACCTATAATTTCTTAAATCACAAAATCGTTTAAAAAAAATATTTCACCGAAAAAAATGGGCCCACTAGTGGAGATGGGTTGAAGTAAACATTCTATCACTCAAATTTAATGGTATACATAAAAAATATCTAAACTCAAATAATTTGTACCTGTGCAATTCAATAGTCTTCTGTAAACAGTTCTTTCAAATATCAAAGGTATGTGTCTTAACAAATCACGACTGCAATTCAGCAAATCCCTGAAGAAAAAGTTCAAATTTGTTAAGTCTGATAAAAATATATATACATGTACATGAATATGAATGAAGGAATGAATTTATTTATACAATTCAAATTCCTTTGTAGCTCTTACTAAAGACTTACTTCAGACCAATCTAATAAGTTGCGAATAACATTAACTAAGAAAATTATTCCTACAAGTACAAGTTATGCAGAATATGTTTTAACCCCTGAAAGCTAGCTATATATAGAGTTTCAAGGGCTCTGGGTTAAAACATTTTAGTAGATCAAAAATTATAAATAAGGTAATGGGCCTAAGGCAGACCAAAAATATGTATGTGTTTAAAGTACTAAAAATACCGACCCTATATTTATGATTAAAAATGCCTAAAGTACACTGGAAAGTTTTTCTTGTCATTTTTTAATAGCACTGATAAAAACAACATATTCCTTATATTAAGCCAATAAGGTACAGTAATATCATCAAAATAGTTCCGTAATTGTTGAAGGCCTATTTGAGGAAAAAATAGTTGTTCCTTTGATAACCTTACCTATACATAAACATTTCTGTAAGTTTTTAACGAGCCCTATTTATATTGCGTCAAATTATTTCCCCCTGTTTAAACTAGTCGAAAACTTAAAAAAAAAAAAATCATTTTGTACCTATCTTACCTAATAATTTTCTGTTGTAAGTCTATTTTTTTTAGGTCTAAATGCATCATTATGTACATGATGTATGAAACTTAAACATTTGTTTAAGAATCACATGTGAACCTTCCTTTGGAAGGGCAAAAGGAGGGTCGTAATGGGGGTACCTTCATGACGAATAATGGTAAAAATTCTTGACAAATGACGTTAACGCAATAACGGTAATTTTTGGTGCATGACGATAAAATGTACACTTTCTTTTAGACGATAAAAAAATCAACTGATTTCCAAAAATAACAGTAACGATAATTATTTGAGACCTCTGACGAATCACGATAAGGATATTTTGACGAATCACGGTAAAATTCAAATGACCGTTTGACGTCTGACGGTAAAGGGCATTCCTACCCTCCAATAGTACATTTTTCAGGGCCAGGGGTCTCCTTCAGTTTAGAACAAACTCATATTTTTGGCATTATCACCATTTTTTCTAAACATTCTTTATAAAATATGAGAAAAAAAAAGTTTACTTCTTTTCAATCTATAATTATCTAATAGAAAAAAATCTGCCGAAAAACAAAATATGAGTCTGATAATGAGCCCCCCTTTTATATTCATGTTGAACCTAAACCATTTTCAATATCATGATATTTTACAGTAAAATATATAATGGAGGAGGAGAATGGTGTATGACCAAAATTATCTTTTGAATATATAATAATATGTAAATAGTGTACCTTGTGTTTAGAACCTAGAAAAAGGCCCTGCTCATCTGGATTGACACTGCTCTGCCTGGCTTTGATCCTTCCTTTGTGAGACGGTTGTGTACAACCAACATTCCTTCTCTTAATCTCATGCATATTCCTAGGGTTTGTTGGTGTTTTGGACAAACAAAGTATGAATGTTCATGTAAGTGGGAAAAGATCCCAATATAAAAAATTTGTAAAAAGTCAATTTTCCCTCCGACTTGATTTTTGTCTAATTTTGAATATTTAATCCTAGGGAAGTGGTTCAACAATTCTATTACATTGTCCAATAACCGTGTTGTCTTTTCATCCATAGAATACTGTAATTTCCCTCATTCATCGTCAGATAAGATTGAAAAACTACAGTTCAATATTGTCTGCCACATGCATGACATCAGTATTGTTTACATCAAAAGAGTTCTGCTAGGGGAAGTAACTCTGTAAATTGTGTTCTTTCATGAACAAAGCAACAGAATCTTTGGAATGGAATTTTGACCAGTAGACAAAAAAACCCACCAGACGAAGTCTTAAACCTGAAATTTCTATTTGCTTAGTATTTATATTTGCAATCATTGTGATTGTACAGGTCTGGTAATAAAAAATATTTTGAATTGAAATTGCCTGAATTTACATAGGTTAATAGTAAAACATATAGAACTTCGAAGTGCTAATACATAATACTGCAATTGATTTTCTAAAATTTGATTGTACAATTCTATTTGGATTAACTAAAGGTAACATATTTTGTATATGAGATGAATATTTGAAATATGTCATGTTTTGATTTTTTTAGAATTTGCCTGATTCTTAGACAGACTGGCACTTAATGTTTAATATGTTGCTGTACTATGTTATACTGTATTACAGCTGTACTTGAATTTTTAAATAAGCATAGGTTTGTTAAAAAATAAATATAAATGCACTTACTAACATTAAAACGTACTATAATTTCAAAATTCTTCAATGAAGCATAAAATCTGGAACTAATAAGACTTGATTGACATTAACAACTAAAAAAATATTGTACTCAAAATCTCCAAATTAAAAACATTTTTTTTATTTATACAGATTACTTTTCAAAGTAGCTACTTAATTTACCCTTCCGGAGCACCTGAGATCACCCCCAGTGGTTTTTGGGGTTCGTGTTGCTCAGTCTTTAGTTTTCTATGTTGTGTTTTGTGTACTATTGTTTGTTTGTTTGTCTTTTTCTTTTTTAGTCATGGCGTTGTCAGTTTATTTTCGACTAATGAGTTTGAATGTCCCTCTGGTATCTTTCGCCTCTCATTTTAAAGTGAATAAAAGCATATTCAATACGTTTAGTATTTAGGACTTTGATTTCATAATAAAAAAATAACTATTAAAGTAAAAATAATTGACCTTAAAATTAACGTCATATTTTGAAATGAAAGAACAGTTTGCTTAATTCAAGAAAATTAGATACTTAGTACTACATATTTTAAATAAAAAAACAGACACGGGTATATAATATAAAATAAATTAACAATCGCTGAAAACAACCTATAGATAGTAAAAGTAAAGTATGTAATAAATAGTTATGCAATGTTTTTACAACAAATGATTTTTTTTTGAATATTTTGTGTCCAAGGGCAATAATTTGGAAAAAAAATTGTGATTATTTTAACCTTTTTCACAAATAGAAATTTATGGTACTAGATCGATAACAATTTTATTTTCCATATGATTTTTTTCCAAGGGGCATAAATCCTTTAAAAATAGTTGATCAGCACTGATTTTCAAACTCTGCTGAGACATTGGTGATATAAACCTTTGATATGAATTTCATAAAAATGTGGGAAAAATTGTGCACATGAGAGTCCTTACAAGACAGGACAGACGTTTTCTTTGATATTGCCAAAAACATAAAGCCTCTCTTAATACTTGCAGGATTAAATTTAAATATTCTAATTAAATATTTTCAGAAAATTAAGTATGACGTTGTTTTTAAACTGATGTTGGAAATTCAGATTAAATAAATGTTTGGTTTGAGGATACCTGATTGCTACTCAAAATACCAAACATCTGATATTCACAGTGAAATAGGGAGCATTTATTGTATCTAAAATTTAAATTAAAGTTTACCAAAATAAAACATCACAACAAAATAGTTAGAATATATAACAAATAGTTAAATGTTTGCCATAAATAATTAATGTTTTCAATAAAATAGTTAAAAGTTTACAATAGGTTAAACGTTTACAATAGGTTAACAGTTTACAATATGTTAAAAGTTTACCATAGGTTAAAAGTTTACAATAGGTTAAAAGTTTACAATAAAATAGACTTTACAATGAACTAGTTACAAACAATCTTACTTTAAATAGATCAAATATTAACAGCAATAAATGTCCTTTCCTAGATTTAGATATTTCAGTTTTACACCAGAAACTCTACTCAAAAATTGACGATATAAAGGGATGATTTTTCTTACCCTATTGTTAATTTTCCTTTTTTGGACGATGATGTTCCTCTGGCACCATCTTACGGTGTTTATATATCCCAACTCGTTCGTTATGCCTGTATCAGTAGTGACGTTTTGGATTTCAATGAGCGTAATCTATGCATTACTGGTAATACATTTTATACAAAATCTTAGAAAGGAAGCTACAGATGTTAGACCACAATATAAACTGAGCTGGTAATTGCATTCGGTGAGAAGAAATGAACGATATTTTAAAGCGTGTCTAGCATGTTTACATTTAGTCTTGTTTAAGTTGCGGATCCAGGATTTTGAAGGAAAATGTGCACATTATGTTTTTGGTCCATTGTTCTCTATTCTGTAAACCCCTAGCCAAACCCTCCCTTATCATACCTGTCAACCTCTGAAAGTCAAAATGCAGGTCATGACCTGCATTGAGTAAAAAATATCTCAGGTCATAACGCGTACGACATTTTTTCAGGCTCAAACAAATAACGAAAAAATATTTACATATAATTTATATAGTCAAGACATATTTCAAACACAAAATATACAACTATTTCAAAATATTGTTATATTCAAATGCAGCTGTCTTTGCATTCTTTAAAAGAAGTGCACCAGGTTTAAGCTCAAAACAATTCAAGTGGGTGTTCATTTTACATGATAATAGTGCACACAATGTATCATTATTTAGGTCAGTCCGGAATTCTGTGGCTATTTTTATCAATAAAGAGAAAGCTCTTTCGCTATCTGCATTGCTTTTTGGTTAAATAAGCAATGTGCTTGCTAGTTTTGATAAAACAATAAACCTAGCTTTATTTGAAAAAAATGTCATGTAAATTTGACATTTCCCCCAAAAAAGTGGCAATGTCAGTTTCAGGAGAAGGGCATTTTTGGTAATTCTTCCAATGGTGTTAGCTGGTAATCAGTAGATTCCTCTTGAAGTTGTAATGTCTCCTAAACTATTCAGTAGGTTTGGAAATGTATCTATCAATTTCATCACTGAAAAAAAACAAAAACTTATATGGTCTAGGAAAATAAATATATGAGATGTTTTGTTCTGTTGTTGCCTAATTGATCAGGTACATACCTAATCTTCTTTTACTAAAAATGTATAACAATATCTACAATCTAAGATACTAAACCACCTGATCAGTTTAAAATCCTGCGTGTTTTTTATCAGTGATATGTATTGTAAAATGAAGTCTTACCACAATCAGGTGAAACTTTATCTTTCATTGCTGAGTTCAGAAATCCAACATGTACAAGTGTATCATCTTTGAAAGGAAATTTCTTTAGCATCTTTGCAACCACACTACAATAAAACTGTCTAACCTGCCTGAAAAAATAAATTTGATTTTAAAAATATAGATGTAGTAGAAATTTGGCCTATAATAATAAGTTGTTAATAGCAGATTATTTTTTTTCGGAACTAGTTTTAACCATGTTGACTTAAATGTAGGTCTATTCACAAGCATATGTTATAGTACCTTAATGGTATTGAAGAACTCATATCTGTTTTTGTTTTATTATTGTGTTGCTGTCACCTTGACATACTATTTTTTATTCATATATTATATAGATGTTAAAATGCTTTTACATTCAATTATATCATTTAGTATATATATAAAAATTTAGAATCAAGATTTCTTTACCTGGAACATTTGATCTCACTTTTCTTTTTTAAATCATCAGAGTCTACAATGTAGCTTCTATTTTTTGTGCCAACAGCAATGAAGTTGATTTTCACGGTCGTGGTAATTTACATCACAAATGTCCTTGCAAGAAGAAATGCATTTCACCTTAACAAACTTCCCTAGAAATTTCCTCAGCAGTCTGGTTATTTGTTCATGAAGAACTCCTATCTTTGCAGCGTTGCCCTGAAAAGATACAAAAAATGTAAATACAAATGGATCTACAATGTATACATACATTTACAGTGATTACTTATATAAACAAGTGATCAGTGACAATTAAACATATATTGAGAGTCAAAGGTGATTAATTATACCTGTTGTTATTTGTATTGTTACCTGTCTAAGCTTGTTTACATTTTGTATTATTTTACTATTTAATTTTAATTCTCAAATTAGTAAAACTAAGGGCTTTTAAAACCGTGTGACACGGGTGCTCCGATATCGGAGGAATCTACATAGAGAAGAAGAAGAAGGTGGTGTCAGTTTATTACACACAAGACTGAAAAAAATGTATGGTTTCAATAAATCAATTAATTAAGAACGTCAATTTATACATTTACCTGAAATGCAGTATTGAATTAATTTAAAGGTGCCAACATGAATTCTAGAGACTGGAAATGAAGTATCATTTCTGGGTTCATAAGATGTTTTGCAACACGTTTCACTCTGCCTTTCTTTTGCACATCTTGCTGACTATTGAAATAACTTTTCAAAGCTGGTCAGTGGTGCAATATACGTGTAATTAGATATAGGAAGATGTGGTATGAGTGCCAATGAGACAACTCTCCATCCAAGTTACAATTTATAAAAGTAAACCATTATAGGTCAAGGTACGGCCTTCAACACGAAGCATTGGCTCACACCGAACAGCAAGCTATGAAGGGCCCCAAAAAATTACTAGTGTAAAACCATTCAAACGGAAAAACCAACCGTCTAATCTATATAAAAACAAGAAACACGTATGAACTACATAAACAGACGACAACTACTGTAATCAGATTCCTGACTTAATACATGTTTGAAGTAATAATAACAATCTGGTAC